CTAGCAATTCAAGGTACATTTGGCCGACTGATAACCATTTAATTAGCGCACCACCTAAAGAGCAGTCGAATCCTTCTCACACGGAGAAAAATATTAAGCCTCTTGTTGCTCCAAGCGAGGAAAATATTGATCCTCCGGTCGTTGACAAGTTCAACAACAAACCCAGAAGGATCGACGATGATCTTTGTTATGACAGTAGAGATGATGAAGAACCGACCCCTGAAGTATTAGAAGATTCGTCTACTGACGCCGAAGACGAAGGTGAAGGCTTAAACAAAGTTCAAGGTCCATTTCTGAATGAGCCTAACAATGGCTCACACGAAGACGACGACCACACATATATCTGAACCCAAAGCCAAGAGGAAGCTTTTGTTCTAGTTCATATGTTGTTTATAAAATTTAGCATTCTTGATTTATGTAATATTGTAGTCAAATAAGCTTCTAGTTGTCAATTGTTTGTTTCTTTACCAGTTGTATGTCATTTTTCTTCTATTTCATTATTTGATATGTGCAACAATGTTTTTTCCAATAAGTTCCTATTTTCATTGTGGTTGTAGACAAATGTTTTTTTAGTACATACTCCTTCGGTCCTTTTTCTTTGGCGTTTTGGTAAAAGTTTAGTATGTTTGGCGTCTTGGCATTTTGGAGTTTTTAGTACATACTCCCTAGCGAGACACCCAGACTACCCCACTTAATAACTTAGAACCCCCACCCCCACCCCCTTTTGTGCCTACTCGGGAAGCTGTCACACTACTAGCAGAAGATCTTACTAAGCCAGAGCCATGTGGCTTGAGGTTGCACAGTATATCCCGGGTGGTCGCTCCACGAACCGGTCCTTAAGGAGGGTGGACATAAGTACCCCCAAGAAGAAGGGCTCAGGTACTCATTCCTCCTAAACATGATCCATACTGCTAAAAACCCAACTTTTACCATCAGTTGCATAAGCCATTAGTCAGGATTACAGATCTTAAATTAATGTGTCATTTATGGGTTGGAGCAGCTAAGCATGACTACAACTACCCATGTGTAAACCTAGGTACAAGGAATGATCAGCAAGTCTAGGTAATCATTAGGGTTTACAAAATTAAGACACATGCATACGTAAAATGAATTAAAGCGAGTAGGTAAAGAACATGGTCAAGGGCACTTGCCTTTCACCCAGACTATATTGCTCAAAAGTATTCAATCTTCAGCTTTCAGTCTTCCACTTTAGGTATTCAGCTACTGGTCTCTAGCTTCCGGTCTTCAGCGTTCACAAACCGTTCTTCCTCTACTCGTACCAACCAAGCAAAACAAACAGACAAACACGATTAAGAACAACACATCACTCACAACAAAAGCTTGAAAAGAGCGTACTAAAAGGCACGACTCGTTGCTACGATCGCGAGAGCGCAAGAATTGAAACCAAAGCAGAGCTCTCGTCGAAAGAAGAAACGACTACTAAAAGATTTAAGTTATCAAAGACAGACTATATGCTGCATTTATTTTATTTAATAAAACAATGTGGTGAACATTTCAGAGAAATACCATAAAGTTTATTTAAGTCAAATTAAATTAAATTTGGAAAAGCCGATGTAAAACCTCAGTCACATTTTATTTATAAACATTTCAAACAAGTTATGCCATTTGAATATTTAATTAGAAACTTTAAAGCATGTGAGAGCATCTAAGTGAATCGTTCGTGTAATGTGTATACGCTAAGCAAGTTATAAATTAAAAACTCATTCATGTTGTAATTAATCAAATTAGCATTAAATTATGAAAATAGAGATTAAACCCTAAATTGCTTTTAATTTGGAAAGCAACGTGAACAATCATTAATCATATTGATATTTATATTAAAATTCAGAAACATGAGCTATGGTAAACGATGTTGCTAATGCGTAGCTTCGGTCGGTACGATCGCAACGCAATATGAATGAAGTTAACCTTTAGGTTGTTTTTAATTAAAAAAACAATAGAATAGGTATTAATCAAATTAACATTTAAATCAACAAATTCATTATCAAGTTGTATGATAAAATCAGCACTACTGCAAAGAGCGCATCTGACATGAATCTAACGCAACGGGACGACTCGAAATCGAGCTAAACTGATTTAAAGAGAGGATTTAACGGTCAGTGGCAATTTCGTAATTAACATCGTATTCTACCTCCATCCATCTCCTGCCCATGGCCATGGTTGCACCGTTCACGCAGAGGAAAGGGGCCTCGGCGTGGGAGAGGGCAGCCGGCCAGGGGCTCCCCGGCCGGCCAGACGGCGGCGCTACCCCGCGGGGCTCGCCCGTGGCAGCCAGCGGTGCGGCGGCCTGCTGCAGCCCGCAAAAGGGGCGGCGGCCACGGCGGTTGGCAGCCTCTGCGCGAGGCAGCGCGCGAAGGGACGCGGGTCGGGCGGTCGGCGGCCGTGGGGTGGCCGGCCTCGGCCTGACGGGCAGCGCGCATGGAGGGGCTGCTGGCCGGCCACAGGCTTGGCTCGGCCGGCTTGGCGGCGGCGGCAGCCAGCTCCTCTGCTCGCGGTGGTGGAACGCAAGGCGCGGCGGAGCATCGCCGGAAGACGGCGGCGCAGGCGCTAGGAGGCTCTGCCAGGCATGCGGGTGGCACAGGGGCGCGGAGCTCGACACGGCGAACTCCGCTGGGTGGATCTCGCCGACGAATGGCGGCCGGAGACGGCGAACGATGCGGCTGGGCGGCTCGGGTAAAGGCGGCGGCTTCGGCGAGCTACCGTGCACAGAAGAGAGGGAGAGGGAGGACGAGAGCGATACCGGCGGCTTCGTCACCTCGGTGCGGAGATCGTGGGCCGGTTCTCGTCGACGTGGATGCGGCCACTGCGGAGATCGCCGGCGGCGGGATCTCTGCGGACGGCGGCTGCGTGCGGGAGCTAGGGAGCCCTAGGGCTATGGGCGGCTAGGATTTCTGAGGCGGTGCGGCGCACTGGGCAGCCTCGATTTGTAGGCAAGGCCAACCTCAGGCGCGCGCGGGCCTAGGAGATACGAGCGGTGGCGGCGGTGGCGTCGTCCGCTTCGTGCGGAGGTTGGGGACGACGTCCACCGTCGCTGACGCGTGTGGGCCACCTGCCAGCGGCTGCGCGACGGAGGCAGCGCGGGGTGGCTGCGTCTGACGAGCGGGGCCCGCCGGGCAGCAGCACAGAGGCGGGGTGCGGGCTGTGGGGCGGCTGCCGCTGCTGTTGTTGGGCCAAGGCCGATTAGCGGGGGAGCGCACGAGCGGGAGCTGAGACAAGCCGGAGCGGGGTGGGCCGAGGCTGCGCACTGCTGCTGAGCTTGGCCCAACATGAAGAGTGCGCGGGCTCAGAGGAAAGGCCGTGGGAGATGGGGCGTTTTGCTGGGCTTCAAAGAGATGACGGAGCTGGGCCGGAGGGCAGACTGCGGAGCAGGCCGGTGGCGCGTGTAGTTACTAGGCCAAGCGCACAGATGGGCCAAAAACAAAACGGCAAATCTAGCGCCCGGACGCCCCTCAAAGCGCTCAACCGCTGTATGCGCTTCGCGTCCGACAGCGTGCTGCACGCCCCAATGACCCGGGGCGGTCCGCCGCCCTGACTCACCTCATTTTGCCCATTGCGTCCAGCTCCATCTTGTGCTGATGACGAGCATGGCATGTCACTTCTAGCCATAAAGACCGCATGACCGCCGGCCCCACACCTCCGTCCGCTAGGCCCCCGACAAGCCACGCGCCCCCGTCCGCCTGACTTGCTCCTCTCGGCCAAACAACATTAAAAGCTCGAATAGAACACTTGCAATAACACGGAACAACTACTCAAACATTAGGTTGAAGGAGCTGAAACATTTGGAACATATTATTGCAACATTGGTGTGAAGCATATGAAACAACGCTCGAATAAAACACTTGCAACAACATAGAACAACTGTTGCAACATGAGACTAAAGCAACTAAAACATTTTGAAAGTATTATTGCAATATTCGTGCGAAGCATATGAAACATCCAGATCAGAACGATTGCAACATCGTCTAGAAACAACTAAAACATTTTGAAAACAGTGCTTGCAACAAACCTTTGAAACAACTGCAACATGGGCAAAACATCCCCAGATCTACTTGTGCAACATCCATATAATTCAACAGCAACATACCTTTGAAAGCGTCTGAAACAATTGAAAGATATAATTGCAACATAGGGGAAAGAGAGCATGCACGGGGAGCGCCATGGCTGCCAGATCTGAGGGCGTCAGGAGCTCCCTATGGGGGAGGGCGCCGGTGTCGGGGAGGGGCGCCGCCGGGGTAGGGAGGAGGGAGCCGAGGTTGGAGGGAGGACGTTGTGGTCGGGGAAGGAGGCGTCGATGTTTGGGAAAGAGCCATCGTGGTGGGGGAGGAGGACGCTGCCGCTAGCCAGGGAGGGAGCGAGGTGTGCGGCCGCCAGCTCATGGCGCTGCGGAGCGTAGTCGGGGGCGCGTGGCGTTGCTGGATCCATGGGGGGAGGAGATAGAGGAGAGGACGCCATGGCAGTGCAGCGGGGATTTTTTCAAAAAGAATGGAGAGTAGCGGCTGTGAACTTGTGGACGAGATGCTATCGAGCCATATGTGGATGGGTTGTGTGCCTCGGTTGGGTGACTCAGCGCCGTCGGTTGGGTCCGTCCGTCCAGACGGACGACCAAATGGTATCATTATCGAAAACAAAAGAAATAAGGGAGAAAAGGATCAAACTGCTTTTCCAAACTATTTTAAGACCATTTAAATTTGAAAACTCTCAACTTTTTCCCCGTGAACTAGAGGAAGGTGAGATCATCGGGGAGGATCGTTGCGCCACAACGGATACATGCTGCGGCGATGCTTCTCCTGTTGTGGCACGGAAGGGCCTTTGTTCACCGCCACGAATACTCGAAGGAGAGATGACAGAGGAAGAGGGCGTCATATGCAGCGCCGATGCTTCCTTTGTTGCGACCGTTGAGACCAAAAAAAGCCCAAGCAACAACAGTTTGTCTAGTTCCTCCAGCAATAGCAATGGTTCATCTAGATCTTCTTGCAGCAATGGTTCATCTAGATCTTCTTGCAGCGATGGTTCATATTCCGAGTGATGGTTCATCTGGATCTTCTTGCAGCGATGGTTCATCTGGATCTTCTTACAACAATTCATCATATTCTGACAGCAACGACTCTGACTCTAACGATGAATGTGTGACAAGCAATCCAACTCCTATTTTTCTTCCCAAGACTGATGCATCTCCCATGACAATGCTGTTAGAGTGCACAGCGGAATCCAACATACCCAGGCCTTGGGCCTAACTCAACCCAAAAGACTAGCCTAATAGGTGAGGATTGTCCCTGCCTTATATGTTGTGCTCCTCCACCATCAATTACCGATGTGGGACTAAACCTAACAATCTCCCCCCGTCACACATCGGACCCAACTCTTCACATCCCCAACTCTTCACATCACACACCCCCGTGTGATCTCCGGAAGATGTTTTCCAGGCCCTGAGTCCAACGCTCCATATCACACAACCCATGTGACATCTAAGATGTTAATGGGCTCCCCCATCACCATGTGACCACTGAGATTTTCTAGGTTTTCCCGGTCATGGGCTCTGATACTACTGGTTAGAGTGCACAGTGGAATCCGGCCTAGCTCGCTATACCCATGAGCCAGTGCCCCTCGGGTCCAGGTCCACTTGAGCCCACAACATACCCAGGCCTTGGGCCTAACTCAACCCAAAAGAGAAGCCTAATAAGTGAGGGCTGCCCCCGCCTTATATGTTGTGCTCTTCCACCATCAATTACCGATATGGGACTAAACCTAACAATCTCCCACATCCACCGACGTTGCCGAAGCAGCCTCTGTCTTGAACTTCTCCGCAACGAGATCCACGGCGTTTCCCACGACATCCATCAGGATACGCACACACGCTATCAAATCTTGATTCTCGTCTTCATCCGATTCTGCAGCACCTTCAACGATAACTCTTGGCTAGAAAATCTAGCCTGCACTGACGCTCACGTCGATCCGCCACAGCCATACGTGCACTCACACGTGCCAGCCATGACCATGCTCCACCTTGTGCCCTATCCGCTTCGCACCAACCATACGCTGCACGACACCTTGTAGATGCATAATCCTCGAATCTCTGAGTGATCTTCCGCACAACCTCTAGATCCAATCTAACCATAACTCTAATTGTTAGAAATTAGCCTCCCACAACAACAAGCTATCTGCTAATCTCCACGCATGGAAGCATCGATTGAATCTACCGAGACAAACATGCAAGATAACAGACGACACCAGAGGCATGATATTTGTTAACGAGGTTCAGTCGAAACCTAGTCCTCGGGGCACGATTACGGGCGCTCCTCCCTGTAACACCCTCGGTGTTACGCCCTAAACCAACTACTAAATCATGTCATGAGCATCGTGTTTATGTAATAATGCATGTGATAGAATGTGTTGATAAATTTCTTGTAGCCTAAAATAACCAATAAAAATGTTAAATGAATGTTGATTCAATAGCTCATGTGTATCAAGTAGGGTTAAAAATTATTTTTTATTAAGCAAAAATACTATAGAACATGTGTGTGATACTTAAATAAAGTTAGAAGTATAAACTTTGTAGATGACAATGCAACTTTTGCTATAGGAAAATAATATGACTATCTAGCATTTCTAATGGCTTGGAAATGGAAATTGAAATCAAATTTGGCTCAAAACTTAGAAAATTTCCAAGTCTGTCAACAGCTAGACATTGCTATGTTTAGCAAATTATTTTGAGAGATTGGGTTAAGGGGTGGTGTAGTGTTATAGCTCGATCTGGTAGCCTCATATGCCATCTTGAGCATGGTGAAGATGGTTTGGCTCCTGAAGCAACCGTTTAATCGTTTTGGGCGCTTTAAAATTCGTGCATATCATATGCTTGGCTCAGGCACACGGTCACCTCGCGCAGCTGGCCACGTTCCGCATGCCGCGGTGACGATTCTAATCGGCTGGTCTAGCTATGGGTTGGTCGAGGCTGGCCTAGCGGGCTACTGTCGTCGCCCTACAACTGTTGGCCGTCGCGCTGCTAGCCACCTCGCTGCCGCTTGCTGCTCGCACCGCTGCGCCGTGCCGAAGGGCTGCCACTGCGCCACCATGTCCGCTGAGCCGTACGCGGGGTCGAGCCAAGGTCGTGGCCATTGTCATCGTGTCGACATGGCAGTCGCTCTACCCTGCGTCTCACCTACCATGAGCCCATGCAGCCGCCCGCCGCGTTTGGGTCAACCGACCCTAACTTCAGGGTGACGGTGATGCTTCCCTGATTTGCCCCATTTCGCTAGCCGACGCCGGTGAGCCACTCGGGCCCGGCTACCGCATTCAAGTGCACCGCGTGCTGGCACACCTCTTGGCTCCGTCTAGCACTACCCAACGCGCCTATTGCCCTTGCTCGTGCGGCCATGTCCTTGCGTTGTCGTACCCTGTCGTGTCATGGACGGGTTACCTCTGATGGGGCCGTGTCGCGTGATGCAGCAGGGGCAATACGCCGCCCTCTTCCTTTCATAATAACCAACTCAAAGCTTCCCAGCTCAATTCCTCGTGTCAACGAGAAGCAGAGGAAGTTAGTTAGACGCCCCATTCTCGTCGGGTCCAGCGATAGTCTGGCCGTGGCCAATTTTGGATTTTGCTCGCCGCCGGTCATGTGCGCCGCTGTGACCAAAGGGTTGGGGGTAAGGCCTATAGCAGTGGTAACAGTTTAATTGCTCGTAACCCTGAGTTCACCTTGACTCCTTTCATCCATTGCTTGTGTTATTTTGGCTAGGGTGCTCGTCGTCAGTGGGGTGATGCGCCGGTGTCCATCGCAGAGCGCCGCCGCCTCGCTCGGTCGCATGTGGCCACACTGTCGCAGCGCTCCCCTGCTTTAACTGTCAGTAGGGCATACACCACGGTGAGCCACTGATGCTTATTCGCCACTTGTACTCTGCCAAGCGTACGTAGGCTCACCTAAGCAGTCACGCCACCGCTGCGGATAGCCGCTCACCGCTGTAGCCCGTGACAGTGCGCCTCCAAGTCCCTAACCGCCACCATCCTTGCGAGTTTAGATGTAGATGGTGGTTGGCCCCTTAATTCCATCGTTGAGAGCCTAGTTGGCCCAGCGTAACCGTCTTGCGCCGTCGGCCGCCGTGCCGACGTGCACGGGGATTCCAGGGACCTCCCCGTGGTAAAGGCGAAAACTTCTGAGGGCGTGGTTGCAAAGTTACTGACGGTAGGAACAGTGCGCATAGCAGTCCTATTAATCTCTGAAAGCTCAAGGGTCTTTCTGCAAAATGGCCAACGCGCGTGGGCGCCCCCGGCCTTGGGCCATACCGGGCCGCCACGCCGCACTGGGCTGTCGAGCCAGAAGGGTCGCTGCCGGCCCTTTTCTTTTTCTAATGCATTTTCTAATTTAATTTCTAAGGTAAATTTGTAAATTCAATATAAAATTGTGTAGTTAACCAAAAATTGTGAAACTAATTTTGTTAAGTTTCTAAAATCATAATTTATATGCTAGTATGTTTTGTTCACATAGTTTTATAATATTTTCAGGAGTTATCTAATTAATTTGAGATGCTTAATATTGTTAAAATATAAACTTGTAGGAATTTTTGTGATAAATTGGTGCTAGTGTTGGCTCTGAAACTTTCATAGTAAATTCCTAACATTATTAGGTGCTCACTGTAATTTTTATAGCTCTATAATAATTAGTTTGCCAGGATAGCTAAATGAGCCCTAGTTTAAAAATGTTTAATCAATAAAATGCCGAAACACCTTGGGATTTTAGAACTAAAACATTTTTCTAGAGACAAAGCATTACTTGGCGACATAGATACGTAGCCTAGCACGTTAGGTATTAGAGCTATCTCGTTAGCTTGCGAGGCGTAATCGTATTTCTTAGAGTTTCGGTTTCCGTTGATTATTTACGTCTCTGCGTTGCATCCACGTATATCATAATAGGAACAACGATGGATCGTGGAAATGATCGGAGTAGCAGAAAAGATGGTGCCTTGATGATCGTGTCACTATGATGGAATGCTAACTTTTGGTTATATCTTACACAAGCAAGCCCCGATGCATAACCCCTATTATTCTGCACTTTATTTTATGCTTGTGCATTAAGTTTTTAGGAGTTGAATGAAACCACTTGCATATATATATCCTGATCCTATGAGTCCTACTAGTATGTCAAGATCATGTAGATTGCTATGCTGCAGGATCCGATAGAAGTCGAGTGATTACCTGTCACTCGCAAGAGATAGGAAAGATATTATTGTTGTTATTATATTACTATCACATAGAATATATATATATATATGGATGATAATTGGAGATCGGGCGGAATAGCATTTTGGATCTGGTCTTGGTTAGGCATTCGAGCGAGGCTCGGATTGCACTTGTTCTAACTATGTCGATTGAGGACCGTCCGTTGCTGTAGATGGTAGTCAGGTCACAGACTAATTATCCGGAGCACATAATTGCTTATGGGAGCGGGAAGTCTCGTTATGCTCTTATCGCAGGTTCCAGCTCTTTCCAGACCGACTGATTGGAGGCGGGGAAAGGTGGAGGTCTAAGCACCATACTGAGACCGGGTCTCAAGTGTTAAAAGCTCTAGTTTGGTTTTGGTGAATTGATGAAACCCTAAGTGCTAGCCTAGTTTATCAAGTGATCATGAGATAGGTAGCACACTCCAAGTGGTGAAGCAAATGAAGATCATAGCATGATAAAGATGATGGCATGGTGATGATCAAGTGCTTCGACTTGGAAAAGAAGAAAGAGAAAAACAAAAAGCTCAAGGCAAAGGTATAATTTGTAAGAGTTATTTTGTTTTGGTGATCAAGACACTTAGAGAGTGTGATCACATTTAGGATTGATAGCCGTACTATTAAGAGGGGTGAAACTCGTATCGGAATGCGGTTATCAAAGTGCCACTAGATGCTCTAACTCATTGCATATGCATTTAGGATCTAGTGGAGTGCTAACACCTTTGAAAATGTTTGAGAAAATATGCTAACACATGTGCACAAGGTAATACACTTGGTGGTTGGCACATTTGAACAAGGGTGAAGAAGTTAGAGGTGAAATGGAGTTGGTCGTAATGATGCTGTCATCGGTCTTCTGACCGGACGCTGGGTCACTCAGCGACCAAACGCTGAAAGGCCACGTCCGGTCGAGCTGTT